GACGCTCTTCCGATCTCCCCAAAACCCCAAAACCCCTTGGTGCCAATCATCCAATTCTTAGTTTAAATTAATCAAATTTTTTAATTACTCCCAATCTTGAACTTTTGATCAATAAATTAGACAATCAATGAATGAGAAAATCCAGTTGTTAATTCATGTCTATCAGTACCTGCTGAAACTTCAAGAATATGCCCTTATTATTACTTAAATTGCTCTCCCAGTTGTTTATATTGCCTATTATATTTCTTATAATGAATACCAACTTTTCTAGCCCATTCAATCTCTTTTGGATTCATACTTAAGCACATTCCATGATAAAATGAATCAGTAAAGACAAGAGCTTTGACTTTATTTATAAATTCATCTTTAAATCTAGAATATAGATCTGCTACACATCTGCCGCCAGCTGAATGAGCTATAACTGCAATACTATGGTTCTGTAGTTTGCTAACATATGTTTTCCAGACATATATACAATGTGAAGACATTGATTCAAAATGCCTTAATATTAAATTAAGATATGAACTTTACCTTATAGATTATCCATTTTTTTCATCTTTTCTTAAGTTTGGGTTAAAAATTATAATTTTAAAACCCTATTTTAATGCCCATTCTACTTAGGGAAGCATACTACCTAATTTCAGCCCTTCGTCTAAACAAACCCTTCTGCTCCACATTCTATATTAATCAGACTGACCAAAAATTACCCAGCTCTAACCTCTCCAGTACCTTGAATTATCACCAAACATTTCTTGACTCTAGCATCATAGAAATTTGAAGATATGAAAATATTGCCTTTGGGACCATCCTCATCTTCTGGTATGAAAATCTCACTCATTTTATATTGTCTGACAAGTTACTACTGGATGTATTTTGTCACAAATTGACATAAATTGTCATAATGATCTTAGCCTTGGAATACAAAGCCACTCCCAGTATTTATATCTATTAATTTGAGATCAGGACCAAAAAATTTATAGTTAAATTCTGCAAGTAGTTCTTCGAAATCAACTGAATCAATCAAACTGTTTGTTTAGGATAACACGAGAGAAGGAGTATCAATTTCCATCTTTTCTTCCTCTTAATATATTTTTTTATTAATTTCCTATGCTTTTTACTCTTCTTTATTTTCTAATAATTCATTAATGCAGTCTAATCATACTATGGAAAAAGTCAGTAATCTTTAATACAGGTTGCTTATTTTTTTATTATAGGGATTATCTTTAATTCTATTTACTTTTTGATCTCGCTTCTGCAACGGTTTTTATTTTCTTTTCCATTTCAAATAATAATTTTAATTTCAAATTTTAAATAAAGCTCATTATTATTACCTCTTGGGGTTTTGGGGTTTTGGGGTTTTGGGG